TATATTTTGGCCTAAATTTATGACAAAATTTGATATTTTTTTTTACTAGACATGTTTAATAGCAAAAAGTCCAAAATATTGTTTTTTATTTTTGTGCTATAAGCAAAAAAACAAACGCACAGACGATCAAATACCACCGAAAGAAAGCTCAATTCATGGGAAAAAGGACATAAATTTCATTTGGGTGCAGCGTTGCATGACCGCGCAATTGCCAGTTAAAGTAATGCAGTGCCGTAACGCAAAAAATGGTCTGGTCATGAAGGGGGGTAAATCCTCAGGAGGGCAAGTGGTTAAACAACTGTAGTATCAGACTGCAATATAACAAAATTTAAAAAAGTATAGGCGGCCTGAGTACTTTCAGAATGGTGGGTGTGTGCATGTGTGTGTATATTGCCAAAAGTATTGGGACACCTTTACACACAAATGAACTTTAATGGCATCCCAGTCTTAGTCCGTAGGGTTCAATATTGAATTGGCCCGCCCTTTGCAGCTATAACAGCTTCACCTCTTCTGGGAAGGCCGTCCACAAGGTTTAGTGGTGTGTCTATGGGCCAGTCAAGTTCCTCCACCCCAAACTCGCTCATCCATGTCTTTATGGGCCTTGCTTTGTGCACTGGTGTGCAGTCGTGTTGGAACAGGAAGGTGCCATCCCCAAACTCTTCCCACAAAGTTGGGAGCATGATATTGCCCAAAATGTCTTGGTATGCTGACGCCTTAAGAGTTCCCTTCATTGGAACTAATGGGCCAAGCCCAACCTCTGAAAAACAACCCCACACCATAATCCCCCCTCCACCATACTTTACACTTGGCACAATGCAGTCAGGCAAGTACCGTTCTGGCAACCGCCAAACCCAGACATGTCCATCGGATTGCCAGACAGAGAAGCCGGATTTGTCACTCCAGAGAACACTTCTCTAAAGTCCAGTGGCAGCGTGCTTTACACCACTGCATCCAACGCTGTTCATTGCACTTGGTGATGTAAGGCTTGGATGCAGCTGCTCAACCATTGAAACCCATAACATGAAGAACTCTACATTGTTGTTTTGCTAATCTGAAGGCCACATGAAGTTTAGAGGTCTTTAGATATTTATTCTGCAGATAGTTGGCGACTTCTACGCACTGTGTGCTTCAGCATGCGCTGACCCCACTCTGTCATTTTTCATGGCTGAGTGGCTGTTCCCAGTTGCTTCCACTTTGTTATAATCACACTAACAGCTGACTGTGGAATAATTAGTAGCAAGGAGATTTCTTGGATGGACTTATTGCACAGGTGACAACCTATCACGGTACCACGCTTGAATTCACTGAGCTCCTGAGAGCGACCCATTCTTTCACAAATGTTTGTAGAAGCAGTCTGCATGCCTAGGGGCTTGATTGTATACACCTGTGGCCATGGAGGTGATTGGAACACCTGAACCCAATGATTTGGGGGGCTGGCCCAATACTTTTGATAGTGTATTTCAAAGTGGCCCTCTTGTTTTCTGCCTTTGACATGTGGATCTTTGTACAGAAAGGGGTTTATTTCTTTTGGTTTGCTTTTGAGTTTTGGTAAACACAGTATGTCTTACTGTGCTGCATCTGAACTTCACCATCACCTCCTTTTAAAGCTCATTTTAATTCCTGGGTGCCTTAGTTCATGCTTAACAAGTGGAATTTATTCCTGGCTTGGAAGGTAGGGACAACTTCCAGAGAGCTATTTCCCTTTTCCACTGGATATCCGCCTCAAAAACCCTGTCTTGTCCTCTCGTCGGATGTTGAGAAAGCTTTCAACCGTATAGATTGGGTATTTAAATCAGGTATATAGCATAGGCTCGGACTTGGGACCAAAATACAATCTTCGATTGGAGCCCTTTATGCTGGTCCTATGGCCCAGGTGCAAGTCAACCAGGTTTTATCCCAACCCTTTTCAATCTCTCAACAGGACAAGACAGAGATGTCTTCTATCGCCACTACAATTTGCCTTGATCATGGAGGCCTTTTTATGCTGGATTCAATTGAACCCTGATATTATTGGGGTTAAAGTAGGATCCATCGAACATAAACTGGGTGCATTTGCAGAGTGTTTTTTTTTTCCTCCGCTCTCCAAGAGCAACCCTGCCTAACCTTCTGAATGAAATAGATTCCATTATCTATCCAATTTTAGGATTAACCTTGGGAAGTCGGTCATTCTGCCTTTGAATATTTTGGAGGTTGAATGTTGAGCTCTTGAGCTAATTTCCTTTCAAATGGCAGGGACTCCCCCCTCAGTGATCTAGATCTCAAACTACCTGCTGATCCGAAGGATCTCTACAGGGTTAATTTTGTCCCGCTGTTATGCTCTGTCCAGGAATAACTGAAGGCCTGGGAGAAAGTAAACATCTGGTTCGGTAGGATAAGTATATTGAAGATGATGATCCTCCCCAAATTTCTATTTTTTGCCAGATGGTTCCCATCCGCTTACCTAGGACCTTTTTTCCTTAAAGCTCGACAGAAGTTTACTAAATTTGTGTGGCACGGCATGCCTTTCATATGACCTCATGCGTTGTATGAAAGCAAGGAGAGGCCTAGGCCTCCTGGACCTTTCACTGTACTATCGAGCCACTGCCTTACTCTGTATTGTTAACTGCAACTTACATACAGGAGACAAATTATGGGTTCCTCTGGAAAAGACTATGGCAAGACAGAATCCGGCTCCATGCCCCTTGGCTTCCTCGAACATTTTGGGGTCTCTGACTGGGTCTCCCCACTCTCCTCTGCCACTTTGACTATCTGGGATGGTTTAAACAAGCAATTCTCCTTGGCAAATTTCCCCTCGCCACTCTCCCCTCTTGGAGGTTATCCGTGGTTCATTTCAGGAGAGGACCAAGCTTTCTTTAAATACTGGGGGGGGGACCTCACGAAATCCGACGTTAACATTTTATGTCTGGCATGCATTTGAGGTCATTAATAGAGCTCCACACAGAATGGGGGACATCGCCCTGCGATAGTCGGAAACCGCTTAGCACATTTTTTGACGTGAGATCTTGCGACTTCTTATCGAAGTTCGAGTCTGTGTGCCTAGATATGGCAGGTTCTACCCATCTTCTCATCAAATTATACTGTATAAACTACTATTGGAGGAATTGACTACCATGACTCCCTATTACATCCAGGAGTGTGAGAAAGAGATGGGTAGAGACCTGTCGGACTGTAGTATAGATAAAATAACATCCTTAGCTCATACTTCATCTGTTAACGCAAAAGCTTAGGAATCGTCTTTCAAATTTCTATCCAGATGGTATAGGGTACCTGACAGGCTATCCTGCATTTTCCCGACATTATCCGGGCTTTGCTGGAGAGGGTGCGGGCAAAGGGGCACTTTCCTACACCTGTGATGGGACTGTCCAGCTATCTGCCCTATTTGGTCCATCATTTGGAATATTATTCATGAGGTTCCACAATCCCAATTGGCAGACGATCCCTTACCTATCCTATTTCATGACAAAAGACAATCAGTTGGGTCATACAAACGCTCCTTGATGCCCTATCTCCTCAATGCTGGTAAATGTCTTATCCCAATTCACTGGAAATCTCCGGTAATACCCTCAGTTATAGAGTGGCTGCAGAAGGTACAGGATATTATGGAGGCTGAGGAGTGGAGACATCATTGTGCACATACTTATGATACGTTCTATGGGTGCTGGGCCCTGTGGCTTGGTTTTCTTATCCCTAACAAGTATAGACAACTAATGTTGTAAATGTATTTCATTCTGAAAGACATGTTTCTGTTATCAAAGGGACTTTCTGACCAGGACAGGTTATGTATTTTTTGTTTTCTATGGTAACCTCTTCTGCTTACCCATTTTTTGGTTCACTATTCTTTCCCCCTCCCCTTTTTTTTCTTCTTATCCTTTTTCTCCTTACAGTCCCCCTTGGTTTCTGTAAGGTTTCAAGAGGATTATCCAACCATGTTTGTTTACTAGCTGGGTGTTGTACTTTGACTTCTGCAGCATGATACTTCTTCGGAGACCGTTTCAGTCTTCTCCTTGGGAATGTATATATTGTCTCTTTTCTGTATTGACTTTTGTAAAAAAAAAAAAAAAAAAAAAAAAAAACATTTTTCCACAAAAAAAAAAAATTCTTGTTTGAATACCTACAAATCCGAAAAGCCACGTATACTCAAAAAGCTAACATAAAGCTCTGTTAGTCTGCTTAAGTGGAAAGATGGTATGATAAAACAGTTTTTAATATTTTACTGAAAAATAAAAAAATTCCAGCCAATGACAGGTAAGGTATCTGCAGTAAATGACAAATGTAAAGTATTTAGTTCAGTATGCAGTGACTGTAAATATATATCTTTGTTTGTGACAGGGAGCTTGGATAGTAACAAAATGCCCTATTGGTAAAATCTTTTTTTTTTTTTTTTTTTTTCCATTTCTGCATTCCAGATTGTGAGTCCCAGCAAAGTACACCAGAGCAGAAAAGACCAGCACTTCAGTCCGGTAACCCTGATGACTCCCCTTTCAGCAGTGCTCCCTCAAAGCGTACCATCAGCAGAACATATACACGCAAAAAGCTCATCACATGACATATTTATTGTAACACTGAACTGTAGCTGCTAAAATATAAAGGTGCTAATGCAGAATAGGATTTATGGACGCAGTGGTGATAAAAGTCTGCTTCCAAATCCTTCAGTCGTAACCAGATGCCTTAGATTAATGAATCCCGGCAAAGGTTAGCATTTCAACTTTTGGACAATGCATCAAATGTAGTAACATAGAGTGCAATTGTTCCTTCCTCCAGCACCCTGGTTTTCCTTGGCTCAAAACGTTTGCACCTACTGATTAAATCTTGCAGTATAGCTTGAGCGAGCAGATAATGGTGCTAATCATACAGCACCAAACTGTTTACAATGGACATCAGGAGACAGGAACTCCTTCATGTACGAAGAGGCTTGGGATTTATTCTAAGAAGAAATGGTGCAAGGTCTCACAATCTCTCAATTGGTATGGGAGGCATTCGTGATTCAGCTGCTACTGGAGCCTGATATTATGTGTTCTGACATACAACAATTCACATTATATCCTTATGGTGAGAGACAGAGAAAGCAGGACCATCCACAGGCCACTTCTTCATTACTTTCTATACAGAAGACTGGAAAGTGAAGGAGCAGCATGTAATGGGACCAGCAACTCTCTGCAGCCACCCTCAGGGTGCTGGTTGTCCAATTTTAAGTCGGATGTTTTATGTGTATTTACAGAAGAGAATATATTATTGACAATATGTAAATAGGCGACATGATGTATGTATGTATAAAACTTGTTTTTAATTTTTTTTTTTTTGTGTCTGGTCTTTTGTTCAACACAGCGCGTTTGAATGTACATATTGTGTAGCTGAGATAAAAAAATAAGGTACTTTTGTAACAATAAACTATAATTTCACAAATAAATACTTCTGGCTATTTTTTTGTTGTTAACATAGATTTTTGCTCAGGCTATTTTATTATTATTATTATTATTGTTATTATACAGTATTTATAAAGCGTCAATGGTTCGCTCAGCGCTGTACATTACAAAGGGGGACAGAACATGTGACAGAACAATACCAATACAATGCAAAACATGAGGGGATCGAGGGCCCTTCTCTTTCGAGCTTACAATCTAGGAGGGAGGGGATAGCTGTGGGGGATGGAGTGGTAGGAAGAGTGGAGGAGGTCGGCAGGTTAGCAGGGGGTGGGGTAGGCTTCCCTGAAGAGATGGGTTTTCAGGGTGCGCCTAAAGGAGAGGAGAGTAGGTGATAATCTGATGGGTTGGGGCAGGGAGTTCCAGAGGATGGGTGACACCCTGGAGAAGTCCTGGAGGCGGGCATGGGAGGAGGAGACCAGGGAACTAGAGAGAAGGAGGTCTTGTGAGGAGCAGAGTGTGCGTGCTGGGCGGTACTTGGATATTAGGTAGGTGATGTAGTTGGGGGCAGTATGGTGGACAGCTTTGTACGTCAGTGTTAGGATTTTGAATTTGATCCGTTGCGCAATCGGAAGCCAGTGGAGGGATTGGCAGAGGGGGGTGGCGGAGATGGAGCAGTTGGAAAGGTAAATGAGTCTGGCAGCCATATTCAGGATCGACTGAAGCGGGGATAGCCAGCGGCAAGGCAGGCCAGTGAGGAGGAAGTTGCAGTAGTCGAGTCGTGATATGATGAGGGAGTGGATGAGCTGTTTAGTGGTTTCTGGGGTTAGGAACGTGCGGATTTTGGCAATTTTGCGGAGGTGGAGTCTGCATGAGTTTGTTAAAGATTGGACTTGGGGCTGGAAGGATAGGTTGGAGTCCAGAATGACACCAAGTACTCTGGCCTGCGGGGCGGGTTTGATGGTGGCGTTGTTGGATGTCACGAAGAAGTCAATGGGGGGTGGTGTCAGGGCTGGGGGGAAGACAAAAACTTGGTTTTGGAGAGGTTCAGTTTAAGGAAGTGGAGCGACATCCAGTCAGATATGTCGCTCAGTAGATGTGTGATTCGGGCGGAGACCGAGGGGGTGAGGTGGGGGGTTGAGAGATAGATTTGTGTGTCGTCGGCATAGAGGTGGTAGTTGAAGCCATGAGAGTGTATGAGTTGGCCAAGGGAGGAGGTGTAGATGGAGAAGAGAAGGGGCCCGAGGACAGAGCCTTGAGGGACCCCAACAGAGAGGGGGAGTGAGGGGGAGGTGGTAGCATTATAGGTAACGCTGAAAGAGCGTTGTGACAGGTAGGATGAGAGCCAGGAGAGAGTAGAATCTCTGAGGCCGAGGGAGTGTAGTTTTTTGAGGAGGAGGGGGGGTGGTCGACTGTGTCGAAGGCTGCAGAGAGGTCAAGGAGTAGGAGCACTGAATAATGGCCATTAGCTTTGGCGGTTAGCAGGTCGTTGGAGAGTGTGAGTAAGGTAGTTTCGGTGGAGTGTAGGGGATCGAGGAGGTTGTTGTCGTTGAGGTGAGAGCTTAGGCGGGTGTAGACTAGGCGCTCAAGGAGTTTAGATGTAAATGGGAGCACGGAGATGGGTCTGAGGTTGTTCAGGTCATTGGGGTCCAGGGAGGGCTTTTTAAGTATGGGGGTGATGTGCGCATGTTTCAGAGGGGAGGAGAAAGTGCCTGAGGAGAGGGAGAGATTGAAGATGTGGGTGAGGGAGCGTAGGATGGAGGGGGAGGGAGGTCGTAGGAGTTGTGAGGGGATAGGGTCGAGAGGGCAGGTGGTGAGGCGGGCATCAGAGAGGATCTTGGAGACTTCCTCGATGGTAGTAAGGTCAAAGGTGCGGAGTGTTGGGGGGCTTCAGTATGAGGAATGTAGGGTGGGGTGGAAGTGGGGGTCAGAGCAGTGGTGGGGCCGTGGGAGAGGGGTGATGAGGGGGTAGCTGAGTGAGGGGGAATGGGGTTGGAGGGAGTTTGAGCAGCTACGAAGTCCCTGCGGGTTATGTCGAGGGAGAGGGGGAATGAGGGGGTAGCTGTGTGAGAGGCGACGTGTTGAGAGGCCGTGTGAGTTGCGGCGATGTCCTTGCGAATTGTGTCAATCTTGTTTTTGAAGTGATTGGCAATCTCAAGGGCAGTGAGTGAGGTGCTGAGGTGTGGGTGGCGAGAGTAGAGAGTTGAAGGTGGAGAAGTGTCGGCGAGGATTGGAGGAGAGGGCCTTGATGAGGGTCAGGAAGTAGGCTCGTTTGGCTGCGTGGAGGGAGGAGGTGTAGGTGTGGAAGGCAGATTTGTAGCGGATGAAGGCTTATAGGGATTTGGTTTTGCGCCATAGTCGCTCCAGGGCACGACTGTGTCGTTTGAGGGTTTTGGTGTGATCCGTCTGCCAGGGCTGGAGCGGTCGGGGTCTGATGTTGCGTGTGGTTAAAGGCGCTAGTGAGTCAAGGGCTGTTGACAGCGCGTTGTTGTAGGCCAGGGGTCTGCAACCTTTAAGACATAAAGAGCCACTTGGACCCGTTTCCGAGAGGGAAAAAAAAAGACTGGGAGCCGCAAAACCATTGCAACATTTAAAACAAATCCGACACTGCATATATTGCAAAAAGCGCTCTGGTCATGAAGGGGGTTTAAGGCCCAGTAAGCAAAGGGTTAATCAGGGCCACAGTGTATCATCATAATCACAAGCCTTAGGTCAGTGGTGGGCAACCTTTTTTTTCAACTGAGTCAAATCTCGCCAAAACCACGATTGAAATTTATTTTGAGAGCCACATTTTTAAAACTGAAAATACATCCCCCATATAGTAATTCATCCCCCATATAGTAATTCATCCCCCCTATAGTAATTCATCCCCCATATTAATTCATCCCCCATATTAAGTCCCCAAGTCCCCCCTGTGTCAATTCACTTACCTTTGCTCCGCGCGTTCCTCTCGCCGTGTTCCCGCGCCGTTCTGGTGTAGCATGAAAATCTGTCTCCTATGAGGATCTATCCCCCTCGACGTATCTGCGCATGTGCCAGTTTCAGGCATTAGCAGCCGATTGGCGATCTCCGGCACATGCGCAGATACGTTGAGGGGGACAGATCCTCATAGGAGACAGATTTTCATGCTACACCGGTCTTCAGGGCGGACTGTGAGAGGAGCCTAGCGGGAGTCTAGCTCCGCGGGTCGGATTAAAAGGTCCGCCGGGCCATAGTTTGCCCATTACTGCCCTATTGCCTGTCACCTGGTGGGCAGTGTGCTCCGGAGCCGCAGCCAAGGTGAAAAAGAGCCGCGGGTTGCCGACACCCGTTGTAGGCAGTCATAGCCAAGTCAGGGCAGGACAGGGAGGATGCTGTCGTGGAGTTGATCAGCTGCAGAGTGGAGGGGGGGCAGGGTTAAGGTTGCGGAGGTTACGGCTGGTAGTAGTGTGACATTTTGAGGGGTAGGCGTTGGAGGACGAGGAGATAGAGAAGGTAATCAGGTTGTGGTCAGAGAGAGGAAAGGGGGTGTTAGTGAGGTTGTGGGGAGCGCAGCGGTTGGAGAAGACGAGATCAAGGATATTACCGTTGGAGTGGGTGGTGGATTGTATGCACTGTGCAAGTGCAAAGGAGGAGGTTAAGTGGAGGAGATGGGATGTGTCTGGGTTGTCGAGGTTGACAGGGATGTTGAAATCCCATAGGATGATGTTGGGTAGCTCAGAGGAGAGGAAGAAGGGTGGCCAGGAGGAAAAGTCATCCAGGAAGCGGGAAATGGATCCAGGAGGCCGGTATATCACAGCAATCTTCAGGGGGGTGGGGAGAATAGTCGGACGCAGTGGGCCTCGAAGGAGGAGAAGGATAGGGGGGGGGGGGGGGGGGGGGGGTTTGGGAGGACTCGGAAGGTGCTCTGCGGTGACAGGAGCAGACCAACCCCACCACCTTTACGACCGTGTTCTAGTTATGTTATGTTCTAGTTGTATTAGGGCAGAAAGACTGATGGAAACGGACACGCAGATTTCACTTGCAGAGACCTCTGTTTACATCAGATTTTATTTTCAATATGTTTTATACACTAATATTCAGGGGTATATCTCCTGAGGACCACCTGCAACGCTGTTTGTCTTCAACATAAAAGTGTTTATTGGTCTTTAACCCCTTGGCGCTGGCGCCTGCCGGCCCTTTAAGGGTTTCAGGAGGCGGGGCAGGGTTTTAGGGTCATGTGACCGTTGTGATTTGCCGTCACAACGATCACATGATCGGTAAAGGTCTCGATTGAAAGAGGAGATCGGGACCTTTCCATAAGTACCGTACGTGTGCTGGGAACGCGCTCTCAGCACATATGTTTTTCTTAATTGCACGCAAATGTGCGGCTGCTCGGCTTCAGGGCCCAGATTCTGGGAGGCCGCGCATTTGCGTGCGGCCGTCGCCAAGAGGTTAAATGCAAGCAAAGCAGCAACACGGAATTCACTTGACTCCAGAAAATAGAAACGTCCTCATCTTCAGCACTAACAGGATAAATTCAAAGCTGGGATTTATCCCAAGGTTAGCACAGTCCTAATCTGGCTGTTTGGCAGCTCCCAGCACACGTGCAGCACTCCAGGTCTCTCTCAAAACTCCTCCCCATTACCTGATATTCAGAGCTTCCTGTTTTATGTGCTGCATCCTGGAGGCTGCCTAACCCTGTGAAGACTGGAGTCCCCGCAGGGGACTGGAGTCAGGAGGAAGGTTCGTTTCCCACCCATATCATTCTGAATCATTTCCAAAATTCCAGGTTCCCGAATAAGTCTCTAAGGCTACGTTCACATTAGCCTTGTTAGCAAGCGACAGACAGGTGTTTGGGAAGCGTTTTTTTTCACCGTTTTCCAAACGCCTCGGAAAATTCTGCACATTCCAGCACATAGTGCTGTTCAAAACGGAGCGTCGCGGCAAAACGGACGCCTCTGGTCGGGTCAGGAGGAGTTGAAGCCTCCTATTCAAGTCTATGGTGCTCCGCAAACGCCCGGCTGGCGTTTGTGAGGCACTTGCAGAGCGTTTACACCATTCAAACTTCATTATAGGCATTTGTGGGGCATTTTTAAAGCTTGGCAAATGCCTAGCAACCGCTGCTAAACCGCGTATACAGCGTTTTTTTTGAGCTTTTGCAGAGCATTAAAAACGCTCCACAAACGCCAGACCAACCAACTTGTCAAACGCCATAGGGGCGTTTGGCAAGAGTTGGAAAAAAAGTCAAGTGTGAACGAGCCCTAATACAGAGGGAACTGCAAGTCAGTCCTCTCCTTTACAGGACTACCCCGGAATACCTCATTCATGATGGGTGAGATCCCTGAGTACACACACCTTTTTATTTATTTATTTATTTTTTTCCCCTTAATAGGAACCATAACCTGCCTTTCATCGATATGGCATAAGATCTCTGCAGTAACCTTTGCTGTGGATGATGCCCCGGTGCATTTGTCTGTGCAGACTTGCCTACTGGGAGCCCATATCTCGGGAACATGGACTGAGGCTATGAGGCTGATTCACACCATCTGTGTCTCGGCCCTATGGGCCATTGCCTTTCACTGGAAGTCCCCCACGGTACCATTGGCCTCAGTTTTACGAAGAGTCGATGCGGTGATGCTCATGGAACGTATTCACTATACGTTACTGGATAGGATGCACTTATTTGACAAAAAAATGGGATGTTTGGAAAATTCACAGACATTTACTGTCTGACCAATGAATATTCATGATTTAATTGATGGTATCTTTCTGTTGGTGGCCCTATTGCTCTGCCTACTTTCCAGCCTACCTTGCTCATGTACTTATTATTTATGTTCTACATAACTGTATGTTGTTGGAATGAATATATACAGATTTACCTTTTTTTCTGTTGTATATTATACCTTATGCTGTTAAGCTGTTTTTGCAGCCTATTTCCTAATAATAAAAACTATTGTAAACAAAAAAAAAAGGAACCATAACCCAAATATTGGCACCACAGCTGCCATCCAGGACCCATCCCTGGCGCCCTGTACAACACGATTGTTGTGTTGTGATTGTGATGTGATGTGAACAGGGCACATAGAGAACAATTGATTTTGTTGTGTCCGTGCAGAACTCATGCAAAAAAGCATGCACACTGTTATGAGCGAGGCCTAAGGAAATGGCTTTATAATTGCCACAATATGCAAAGCTGTGCTATAGAGTGTGTAACGTGGAACTATATGTAAGATGTAAAAAAAACTTGAATGTGGAAGGTGTCACTGGCATTTACACAGCAGGTTGTCCCCCTGTAACCTTTTGAGAGACACAGGAAGTCATTAACTTTGATTAACCTCCCTAGCGGTCTGATTATGTCAGTATTTCTGTGCTGAAAGCAGTACTTTTTTTGCATGGAAATATGTAGTTTTTTTATTGTAGGCCTGTAATTTTTAGGAATAACTCACTGAAATCTGTCTGAACAAGAGTCTAGTAAACATCCCGGGTATGATAAAATTTGAAATACGAAATCATAAATTATAATATAATAAATAATCATAAAAAATAATATAATACACTTTATTCAATAATATAATCAAACCAAAAACACTGAAATTTGAAATAGAGCGCCAAGTTCGCACATCACTGAGCAAAATCGTTTTCAGTGTCTGATGATGAATTTCCCCCACGAATCATTATCACTCAATTCTGCAAGTGGTTCTGATTTGCTATCGCTGTTCTCTAGCCGGTCTAAAACCGCTTTTGACCTAAAGGGACACTTTTTGGACGCCATGGACGTTTCTCAGTTTCCAGGCAGAAAGAACAGTAAAAATGCAGGCAGGGGACAGGACAAAGCACTCGGGACAAAATGTATGTGAAATGGTTTGATACAGTAATGTTATACTATGTGATTTTAGTGTATTGAGTGAATGTCAGTTTTTCAAATTTCCCGCCGTTCCGTCCCCGTACATCCTGACGCTCGCAGGGACCGGAACCCAGAAGACAGATGCCAGCATCGGCCGGAGGAGATGCCCGGGGATGCTGCAGGAGGGACATCGCGGGAGCGCAGGACAAGGTAAGTGCTGCAGGGAATCCCAGAGCAACATTGCAGGGTATTCCTGAGTGTAGCTCAGGGTTACCGCTTCTGGTACTGAAACTTTACCCGAGCTACACTCGGGAATACCGCCAGGGAGGTTAAGGTACAAAACCTCCAGTGTGTAGCTTCCCCCTTCATCCCCTTCCTAATACCTACCTGAGCCTTCATATGGAACAGTTCTGTGCATGCATGTGACATTTTTCAAGGCATATCGGCTGACTCCACACCCCCTGCCAGCTCTATGGCTGCACCACACGACAGTCCTGAGCTCGAAGCTCCAAAAAAGCACACACTAAAAAAAGAAAAAAAAAAAATACAAATGTTCTCTATGGTACCAGACACTATAGAGAACAATTTATTTTTTTAAGTTTGACCTTTTTTGGAGCTTCGAGCAACAAAATGCTCAAGTGTGAATGTAGCCTTAAGGGCCTGCAGCACATTGTTTTTTTTTTTCCTGCATTAAAAAAGCATGGAAAGTAGGTTCTTTGAGTTCCAATGGCATAGTTTACACCTGCGTAGTGCTTTTCAGTTCCCGAAAAAAAAGTACATGTTGCTTTTTTCCTACACAGACCTGTACTGGAACACAGTAAAAAGCATCAAAAACGCACCAGACCCCAGTACAGTGGAAAAAACAGGAAAATGAAGCAAAGGAAAAGCATTGTTTTGAGGAAAACAAAGATTTTGCAAATGACCCAAAAAAAGGAAGGGAAAAAAGCATCTGGAAACACATGAAAAACACACTGGAATGCATTAAAAAAAGCTCATGCAGACACGTATGTGGAAGATGTTTTTGTGTGTGTGAACTAGTCCTAAGTGTCCTGCATCCCTACTGCCTCCAGTGCAGAGTCTCTTGGCATTAACCCTTCCTGTTCTGCAGTTGTTTAGTACCCCTTGTGCGATCCTTCTCAAGTTTTATATTGCGGGTCACAGGCACAAAGGCAGTGTTACTGCAGGCCTGAGCGGCTTATGGTCCTTTTACAGTACAGGGGGGCTTGTGATGTACTACCTAAGGAACTTGACACAGAGGATGGAACTGGACCCAGAGGGCTGCAACTCACATTGTCAGTTTTGTCCATTTGGACATTTTCGAGGAATGTAATGCAGATATGGCTGAATTTACAGGAAACATTTCAACCATGGTAGCTAACTCGGAACGCAGAAGGCTGTAGACAGGCTTTCTTGCCCTCTCCTCTAGAATCTATTTCCAAATTGACTGCTGCAACTGCTACCTGTCTATGGTAGATGATTATGTACAGTTGTGTTCAAAATAATAGCAGTGTGTTGAAAAAAGTGAATAAAGCTGAAAATCCTTCTAATAGCTTTTATTTCCATACACACAAATGCATTGGGAACACTACACATTCTATTCCAAATCAAAACATGAAGAAAAATATATCAAATTTGTGTTGTTCCTCTAAAAAAATTGAAGAAAAGTGAATATTAGACGGTTCAAAAAAATAGCAGTGTTTGTATTCTTCTTTACAAACTCAAACATTCACTATATAAACTGAAAAATGTTTGAAGATTTTGCTTTCCTTTGAATCACTTCATGAATATTTGGTTGTAGTCGCACTGTTTCTGAGAACTGCTGTACATCTGTGTTGCATGGAGTCACCCAACTTCTGGCACCCATGAACAGGTATTCCAGTCCAGAATGATTGGACTACATTCCACAGTTCTTCTCTATTTCTTGGTTTTGCCTCAGAAACTGCATTTTTGATGTCACCCCACAAGTTTTCTATTGGATTAAGATCCGGGGATTGGGCTGGCCACTCCATAACGTCAATCTTGTTGGTCTGGAACCAAGATGTTGCACGTTTACTGGTGTGTTTGGGGTGGTTGTCTTGTTGGAACACCCATTTCAAGGGCATTTCCTCTTCAGCATAAGGCAGCATGACCTCTTCAAATATTCTGATGTATTCAAACTGATCCATGATCCCTGGTATGCGATAAATAGGCCCAACACCGTAGTATGAGAAACATCCCCATATCATGATGCTTGCACCACCATGCTTCACTGTCTTCACAGTGTACTGTGGCTTGAATTCAGTGTTTGGGGGTCGTCTGACAAACTGTCTCCGGCCACTAGACCCAAAATGAACAACCTTACTTTCATCAGTCCACAAAATGTTGCGCCATTTCTCTTTAGGCCAGTCAATGTGCTCTTTGGCAAATTGTAACCTCTTCAGCACGTCTTTTTTTCAACAGTGGGACTTTGCAGGGGCTTCTTGCAGATAGCTTGGCTTCACATAGGCGTCTTCTAATTGTAACAGTACTCACAGGGAACTTTACACCTTCTTTCATCTTCCTGGAGCTGATTGTTGACTGAGTCCGCGCCATTTTGGCTATTCTTCTATCCAATTGAATGGTAGTTTTTCGCTTTCTTCCACGTCTTCCAGGTTTTGGGTGCCATTTTAAAGCATTTGCGATCATTTTAGCTAAGCAGCCTATCATTTTCTGCACTTCTCTATATGTTTTCCCCTCTCCAATCAACTTTTTAATCAAGGTACGCTGTTCTTCTGAACAATGTCTGGAACGACCCAATTTTCTCAGAATTTCAGAGAGAAATGCACTGTAACCAGCATGTACAACATTTGCTGCCTTCCTTCCTTAAATAAGGGCAATAATTGCCACCTGTTTTTCAAAGAATGAATGACCTCACTAATAGAACTCCACACTGCTATTATTTTGAACATGCCCCTTTCAATCAGTGATTCAATTACACAGAATCAGCAGCATGCATGTCATGACTGTTGGGTCTGTTGGATTTCTATTACTCTACTACACCTGCTAGTAAATTATTTGCCATGTAGAAATATCATTTCTACCAAAAACAGAGATTGATCAGGTTAGTGATGTCTGACTGCTATTATTTTGACCACAACTGTACTTGTGGAGTCTGTTTATTGAGATGAGCCTAAAGCTAAAAGACATCATTGCCTTTCTCACTGATGCAGGCCATGCATGTCAGTTGTATCAAGGTTTACTAGTCTGGGGTCTCTAAAAGCCCTTTCCCTGTACATTCACTGTTACAATCTCTTTTTTTTCTTTTCTTTACAGTATATGGGGATTTAAAGCTTTTACTTCTAACCTTTTTCACAGCAATGCCATATGGAGGACTTAAAAAGTGGACTGTCCCCTCAGTGGACCCTGCCATTAGCTATCTTAGCGAGACTTTACCTGTCCTATTAGGGGATGTACCAACATTAAAAGATCAGTGGGTTAAGAGACCAGAGGTTCATCTCTGGATCATGTGGACTTGTTGTCCTAGAGTCTGGTCCACCATCCTGCCTCACAGTTGCTGGCTTTAATGGGGGCCAAATGTTAAAAATATTAATGGCCGTTTTCCAGGCCAGTGGTGTCCAAATTGCGGCCTATGGGCCAAAAACAGCCCTTTTCTAACTTTTATTTTGCCCATGGAGCAAGACTGGGGCATCATTCCTGCCACTGACACCAAAGATGGGGCACTATTCCTTCCATTGACCATAGGCGCTATGTAATTTCTTTACTCTCACTGACCACAAATCCTGATGTATTGTTTATTCTCACTGAATCCAGGATATTTACTACCCCCACTGGCCACAATTTGTTCTCCCCCCCCTAAAGTCTGAACTGGCCCTTTGTTTATAAAGATTGGAGACCTCTGTTCTAGATTAATAGTCAAGGCTGGGCACATGTCAGATTGTGGCTTTGCGCCAACTTCTTCAACCTGAACAGATCATGAGGCAAAAAACATAACTCTTTATTTGCACAAAGCTATGAAAACAGTCTGCAATCCATTCCTCAATATGAGATCAGATGCAGTGGCATTCTTCACAATAAAGAAATGTTTCCCCAATCTAATTTCATCCTACAAAATGGAAACAAACTATTTTATAGACTTCCATTATTATCTCAACAGCCCCATGTGGAATTCCTACAATGTCTGCAAATCTAGTCTTGTTGTTCCTCCTAGTTGTTTCCTCAGGCTACTAAAATTCAAGGCATCTGTGTAGCAAATAGAGATCATAGTACAATTTCTAAGGCCTCTTTCACATAGACTTTCCGATCGGGTTCGCCTACCCATTTTTCAGGCGGACCCGATCGGAACCTCACTTCTCCTCTATGGAGAGCAGGTGTAAACGGACATGTCTGTTTACACCCGCCAAAGGGACGTATAGTGATCCAATTCATTTTATGTCCATCAGATCGGGTTGGATGGAAATGGACAGAAAGTCCATTTTCATCCAATCGCCCATTGAAGAGAGCGAGCTGCTCTGTGTCCACTCTGCAGCAGTGGATCAGACACAGACCTGTCATCTGTTTGTTCAGTGGGGATCAGAGGAGAGATCTGCTAAACAAGTGGATTCACTAAATGGGTCCGCCCATGTAAAAGGACGCATACTGTCTCCACTCAGTTGGTACTTGTACTATAAGTGGGACCCCTAGATCGTGTTTACCTTGCCCCCATTAGTACTCACTCTCTGTTGTATCTCTTGTAGTAAAGGCAGTTCAGTCCATGTAGGTCTTTTAAAGGTTTGCTGCAGAACCCATAGGAACTAGCGGGTGGAATACCAAACAGTAGCACATTTTCCCAAAGCGGACAGTCCCTGAATGAAGATCAGACTTCTGTACACAGCATACAGATGAAGCATGCAATACAGCTGAGGCTCCTGTGGTTTCTCTCAGATAATGACTGCAAAATAAGAAAAATATGCAATTTACTCACTGGGCACCTCATTAGGTACACCTTGCTAGTACCAAGAAAATCTCCCCACACCATTACACCACCACTACCACCAGCCTGAACCTTTGATACAAGGCAGGATGGATCCATGCTTTCATGCTGTTTACGCCAAATTCTGACCCTACCATCTGAGTGTCGCAGCAACCAGCCAGCCTGTCCATTCTCCTCTAACCTCTGACATCAACAAGGTATTTTCCTCCACACAACTGCCTCTCGCTGGATATTTTTTCTTTTTTTTCGGACCATTCTCTGTAAACCCTAGAGATGGTTGTGCGTGAAAATCCCAGTAGATCAGCAGTTTTTGAAATACTCGGACTAGCCCGTCTGGCACCAACAAGCATACCACGTTCAAAGTCACTTAAATCTCTTTTCTTCCCT